TATGACGGTAAGCGACGCTTGCAGTAACAAAGCTTGGTTCACTCGCCTTGTGACAAAATTGCCACAGTCGTTGGTAGGTCGTTCAGAAACTTGGGCTGCGCCAGCTGAAAACTAGCCATAAGTTCGCTAGTGGGATGTCGCATTACCGTGTTCGCAGCCCCTCCCCCACTGATGCCGTTCGCAAGGTACACGGTAGTCCACTCATACCCAGTCGTACCTTGCATTTGGACAACCTTGTGCCCCTAAGCTGCGCAGAACTAGCTTCAGATTAGGCACCGTTGCTGAATGCAGGCTAGGCCGCCCAGACGGCAACACCCCACCCCACCAACGCATACATTCATGCAAGGGTTATTAAGTTGACCGTCAGAGGCTGCATTGGGTTAGCTCAATACCAAGGTCACTGCGCGCGCTCATGAGTGCAATTCAATTGCACTTATGAGCACGTTCAATCGGCTTAAAGGTGCAAATCAAAGCGTTAGGGAGCAACTCAATTGCACCATAGATGCAATCAATCTGGAAAAAGTGTGGTGTATGGAGAAGACGGAATAGCGGCCGCGTGATTAAAGCCAGATCCTGTAACGCCGCAGTGAGACCAGCACTACCGCTTGAGTCAGGAATGACCATTGAGTGCAGGCGAGATTGAGTTCGGTCTCATTTGTCAAACAACGCCTAAGAACTAATACTCATGTCTGGTATCGAACGAATAACACTGATTTAAGAGAGGTGTGAAAACAATGGCTGGTGGTTTTGGTGGGCAACGTATCACTTTTTCAACAAAAGCTTTCTCAGCCATGGTCAAATGCACGTGGGATAGTTTCAACGCTGTTCTAACTGGGCACAAACTGTGCGCGATGGAGAAAAGAAAATAGGCCGTGAAGCAATGGGTAAATTAATGGATAGTGGTTGACTAAGACGATTAGTCGAACTTCAGTTACATAAAGTGTATAGAGACGGCAAGAATTCCGTACAAATGACTTCGGAGGCTATCCGGAAGATACTAAACAGGGAGAATATAGGGGTGATCTTCCGGCGGCGCCAAACACTACGCCCAACACTGGTGCATCTGAAAAGCTCTCTTCCCAAGAATAGGACAACTAAGTGCGTCTACAAAAGTGAATGTAAAGACGGTGACATGTATTAATGAGGCAAAACGCAAGAGAGCTGGGTATATTAATTTGGGAATACAAACAGCGAATTTCACGATAACCGACGAACAATATCGAACACAGGCCCGTGGCTGTGGGTCATCAGATTGAATTTTAGAAATCATTAGGAGGGGTGTGCGAACAACGCCCAAGCGGTTTATTGCAGAGACGGTGGAACTCACCAAAACCGACAGCTATGTGAATAGGATGCAATAGGTGGAACTCTCGAATGCCTTGCGAGCGATCTTAATCCGGTCAGTCTGACGAGCGCCGATGCGCAAATTCTGTTAGAAAGAGGAAATAGCCTTCCGTCGTTCTTACCAAGGAGATATTTGTCAATGCGATTAGGCACGAGGGATATATGGACTATTCCCACTGTGACACTATAGAGATGATAGCGCGACCTGTGACAGTAATAGCATCTTGCCGCATGTCCCTGTTATCGCGATTATTGTCCTACTCCGCTATAAAATGCTGCTCAACTTGTATATTGACTCATCTGGTTGGAAGAATTGTGCCAAAAGCGAAACGTTTCCTTACAAATACACTAACCGACAATTTTCAAACCTCTCTGAACTGGAGTTCATGAGTATCTGCCAGGATTTCTAATAACAGTTATCTGAGAATAGATCCTCAGGTGTCAATCTGAGGTGTTCTTGGAACTGAATCTTGGCCATATCCTTCGCACGCTTACCAGGTGACCCCCTGGGCCCGTTGCTGTCATGCTCTGAACATGGCTAGAGGAAATCACGAGAAGGTTAGAAAGATATGGTAAAGTAGTACGAAGAAGCATGTGGGGAGACGGATCTCGGTCAATGCATATCGTCTTTCTGAAGGAATCCTCGGCGTAGTGGAATCCCCAAGCCGACCTTTGTTGTGCCCACTCATACCAATTCAAGCATAAGGCATGCTTCGAGAATACTTACCGATACAAGTCATCCACCTCATGGTGCGCTATCTGAGTGCGTATCAACATCCTGAATCAGATAAAAGTATAGATCCACTTTCGCCCACACAAGGGCTTACCACTCATCCGTTATGCTGGATCTGCATGTTTATTGGTTGCATCCAGACATCAGTTGTCGTGGAGCTTAGAAACAACTCTGCATCGTAACCATACTGCTGTTTATGCCACTTATTCATCTATTTGTGTATTTACTACTTTATCTCTTTGAATATGCTGTAGGCATGTGTGTAACAACTGAATATTCACCCCTGCATAAAGCGATTCCTGGAAAGGAAAAAAATGAAATCGGCGATACCAACGGTTACAAATCCGTCGAAAACAATACATCCACGAAGTTTAAGATGTGGCCGCTGTTGTATTCTCGCTGATAACACGGTTAGCTGATTTTGAATTCAGGATCAGCCACTACCCAAATCAAAAGACAAAGATCTTGACAAAACAGCATTATTCGCGGACAAAATAGAATAGACCTAGAGAAAAGTTTTGCGCTACCAGAAACTACTAAATGATGGTAAAACGTTCGCGTTAGCTGCTTCCAAAAGAAAAATACGATCATTAGTTGGCACCCATAGTCACTCTCCTGACCAGTAAGTTTACAATCGGGTTGGTTCAAGCCTCTGCGTAGGACAGTGGCATGGAAACGAGCGAGCTATGTTAACACATACACATGTCCTCTTCCTTATGGCTAGCAGCCACTTCATCTGACGATTTTGATGCTTCCGTCTACACACTTTTGAATTAACCTCGATACTTTTTACTATCGTCCCACATTGCTTTCATCAGTGGTCCTGTGAAGATTTGAGTTAAATAAAACTGGATCGGCCACACAGCATATTTGAAGAGACAAAATAAACGAAACAATCGATTCGGTGCAATCGAGACTGCTCAACATTAAAAACCAAGCACAGTAATGATTAAGACAATTGCTGGCATGTGTAGTAAATCCTACAGTGACTCCAATTGAAAAAATGTCACGATCACATACGTGGACGAAAGAATGCATTATTTGTGGTGATTCTTTGGAAACAACGAAGAACCACGTCCTTCAAGTTGAATGCATGAGGTGAACACCGTAGCCTACCAGTGCTTTATGTCAATCTACATGACAACGGTTATGTACGATCTGAATCCAGTTTCAGAAAAACCATACGATGGGCTGTGAGAGCCCTGTTTAAACGAGTCCCAGCTCAATGCAGCACGCCACCATTCAGGAAGCCGAAGTAAAGTCATCCGCTTAACCTGCTAAAACAAAATTCGTAACCATATGTTTTCATTCTACGTTGTATAACATCAGAAAAGGCATCACAAATCACAGCAACAACTACGACGCATATTAAGACTACTACTCTATCTCAAAGTGATGGAATTTTTTGGAACGGCGGTGAGAACTTTATTACCATACGGGATCAAAGACGCTGCGAAACCAACGGAAACGATTCAGAACACGCTCTTAAGGGCGGAGGAAAAGTTGGGCTATGCTGATTCATAGCTGCCGTAATCGGGAAGTCCTGACGCCGGAAGGCCAACCGCTGTCATCTGCATGGCAGTGGAGGATGGGTCGGGCTATATCGCAGTTAGCTAACAATTCGTGATGGTCGGTTGCCATCCTCCATGGCTCAACTGCATGAGCTGCGGGCTAGTTGGCACAAGACACTAGCAGTCATGGGTTCGATCCTCCGTGGAGGACCGAAGGATGCACACCACTGACGAGCCCCAATAGGGCGAAACGGCCATCTGGTGCTTTTACGGATAGGTAGTTGACTTATCTGAATTGTCGGCTGACTGCGAGAAACAAAAATACTCGCCAAAATCCTTCTAGTCATAAGTAGATCAGACTCAATTAACGAAAGTGGAGGCAGAGGTGGCACAGGAAAGCAGAAAGCTTGACAGAACGCCAGGTTATCCACCGACAAGAGCAGAAATCGCTAGTGCTAATGCATAAGGATACACAAATTCATTAAAATGATGTGGAAGACGTTTAAATGTGCAAAATACAACAGGCCAGTGGATATGAATTCGTCGGGGTCTTGTAATGGACGAGCTAATAGCATCGCCTAGTCCAGTGGCGAAACGTCTGGAAACAAATTACTCAAGTTAGAGAACAAGCCAGCACCATCGTCCGCATTCTTAAACGTAAACATTTGGAAAAAATCGCTACTCTCGGAAGTACGTCAAAGTCCGAATCACTAGTAACCACAGTTGGGCACCTCTGTACTGATTGACGTAACATTCATCCCATACTAAGGAAAGAAAGAAAGGTCACCAGCAGTACGCCGGCACACTGTACCGACGCTTCGCTGCCACGCGACCACCACCGGTAGCGCGTGGGCTGCGTGAACCGCGAGGACGTCCGCCCCTACGCGCATTCGAACCGGCGACCTAAAGGTCGCAAGCCAGGCGTGCAATCCGTCGACCACAGGCCGACCCATGCTAAGGCAGACTGACTTAATCGCGCAAATCCCCCGGTCTCACAACTGCTCCGCACGCGACGGCCAATGTTGTATGGAATAAGATGCCACATTCAATCTTGTTTAAATCAGACCGTCAACGCCAGTCGTACGATGAGCTGCTCCGAAAAAGATACCAAGCGAAAATGGATTGGTTGACCAATGCAGGCTCAGATGATAGGGAAAAGTATGTGGGTCAGGAAATGAAGACAAGAACGTATATATTTCACGGTAAAATAGCGAACCATCAAGGTGAGAGTGAAGCCAGGAGAGCAAAAAGCAAGAAATTTGCACAAAACCAAGGCTACAGATAAGATGGCCTGAAGTGTTCAGGTTCTCACCACGATATGTCCTGATGCACAGTGGTGAGCGCGCATGGAAGGTTAAAGAATTCAAACAGATAGTGAACGGAATTATCAGATAAAACTGAAAGGTGCTTACCACAAGCAGAGTCCAACTGGCGTATCACCTCGGTCAATTGATCTAAGATACAAACAATTATATGCTGTTGTTGGCGTTGGCGTTGAGTGCGAGTGCTCGCGCGTCCAAAACCGCGTTTGGTGAGGACGTTCGAGTCAGCATCGCTAGTTTTCGGGGAAATGGAAGGGGCGGCACAATTAGGGTCCTCGAGCTCCAGCGCAGTCGGCTCGACAACCTTTTTGCCAGAGTCTGTAGGAGCGTCAGTGGTGTCTAGCTCTACATTCGTTTCCTCTACACATTCGGCACCCCGAGCAGCGTGAAGCTGCCTTCGGAGAAGCACAACCAATTCACGGGCAGCCGCCAGTACAGCCGGTTCCGACAGCAGACGATGGAACAAAGTGGTCAAGATGTAACCCACACAATGACGTGCGAATATTGCCTCGGCTTGAGTAGGAATGGCGCGGGGATTGATCAGTAGGTGTACACAGTGGGAAATGACAGTGTCCAGATTAGACTCGAGCCAATGAGAACCCATCATTGAGACGAATTCAACATAGGCCTGTGAGGTGTGCAATGTATAGGGAAACGGAAATGGTTAAGGGAAAAGTCCAGAGAAACAGTCCGCTTAAAATAAGTAAATAGGTGAACTATGACGACTGACACCAGCAAAGACCAAAGAGTGGAAAGATCCCCCTAGTGGCGGCACCCATGTGGAGACTCATTAATGAAGTCTGAATGAATGGTGAATAGGGCGCGGAATAAACAGACAATGAAGGAGAATACCTAGATGATTGACAAGAATAAAACCACAAACAGATAATGTGAACGCATAGCAAAATGCGCTGTGATCGACAACAACCGGGCTGATATTAGTTCCTCTGCGCTCCACTTAAGGATAGAAGCTAGAGCAGGAAACAGATGAGCGCGTTGTTGTGCATCAAGGGTAAAAAGATGTTTTGAGGAGAGTGCGTCGTTCTACGCTACTATAACTGGTCCAAAGCGGAGATGACTCGTTCTCGTGTGGGGCGGCAACAACGAAGTTGGAACAGTGATGTCAGAAGTTGTGTTTTGGACAATGCGACTATGCCCTATGCAGTGGTGGTGAAGTCCGTGGGTTGCAAAGTGGTTTGGAAATGGGAGCCACTGCCCTCTTTCGTAATACTCGCAAGCTCTTCCAGCCCATTAGACCCAAGGGCCGCAGGAAGTCTGGTGTCAGTGAAACTATTTGCGAAGTGGATGGTTCGCCAACCGCTAACCTACGGAAACGCTTGGATCGATGAGCCGAACACATTCACTACACGTCTCACTGGTCCTCACTTTCCACTTGTATGCCATGCGAACCCAGCTGCCTGCCCTGGGTTACCACGCTTGAGCCACCCAGCGAGGCGAAGTTTACATTGCAATGCCACGCTTGAAACGATTCATGACTGCTGGCTCAGACGGACGTTCTTCAGGGCTGTTCAGGTACCTGTACTTGGCATAAAAAGCGTCTTCTTCCTACAGTGAGTTAGTAATTGTCGCGATTTCTATGGAGGATGCTTGTACGTCATACGTCAATCACCGGAGGATTAGTCTCCTTTAGGTCGGCTCCAAGCTATTGCCACCAAGTCTGGTTCATGAACAATCACCGATTCGCGAATCACAGTACTGGGAAGAACCAACTGGTTTCCAACCTGGCCGTGGGTGTGTGAACCAAATCTGTTCCGCCTAATTCTCGAACATCGCCACCTCTAGCAGAGGACAAACATCGCTACCGTCCTAGACATCCGAGCTGCATACAAGATAGAGAAGATACTGTATCGTTCAAGGTCTGCGAAGCCGTCAAGTGCAGTGGTTGTGGATCAGAAGAATTCCACACAGTGCAAAATCCCGCTACACAATTTGTTGCTTGTACAAACGATCGGCGACCATTGCACAGTAGATCTTCAAATGGTCGACTTATAAAGTTAGGAGCGACTGTTATGCCCAAATGGTCAACATACTACTTACAGAGGCGGTCAACAAACAGAGATCTGGTTCCATAAGGTTTACATGGTGAAGGTTCAATCCATGAAAAAACGGTCAACTTATAGAGGTGGTCAAGTTGGGAGGTTCCGCTGTATGGTGATAAACGGTGGTGGCGAGGAAGGACATGTGCAAGTGAATCGGGGAAATCGTGGATTACTATTGATACAAAGTGTAGAATACACACGCGTATGCCACCGATTCGTGGTCGATGAAGACGCGTAGATAGCAGAGAGAGAGCAGCGCCATGAATGAGGAGTGGAGTGTAAACGAGCACGGCAGTAAGATGTTCAATAGTCAGTAGCACACAGACTCGCGCCATTGCAATGAATGGCCAATGTGTGTTGCGTTTAGTTCTCTGTAAACCTACAGGCTAACAGAGAAACCGCCTCGAGCTGCGACCAGGAAAACAAATCCTTCAAATAAACAGGTAATAAGTCGGTATAGAGATGCATGTTAGTTTCATTATGAGAGTGCTAATGGAGAGCAGTGTTGGGCGATGAGAAAATGGGTGCCGAATTGTATGCGACGTGGCGGTTTGATATTTTTGTGGTTTGATTTTACAAGTTAGTAGCAGAGAGACTGTCTGTTCGATAAGTATGGACCATTGTTGATTCAAAGGGGCACGAATGGAATAACTGTAACCATTATAGAGAGAATATAATAAACAACTCTTCAGAGATGGCGCCGTCTAATCGGCAATTTGACGTAAATGACACAGGAACTATGCTAAGGAAGATGTGCGACAGAATGACATGGATTTGAATACAAAATGTGATCGCTTTCGACGTGGATACTTATTGGGTTGTGCAGTGCAAACAGAACATCAAGTCCCGTTAGTGCTGCGATTGTTAGTTCAATACAGTTCAATTGAACAACGATGATCTGGGCAATAAAGTGCGGTGGGTCTAGTTGCTACGACCCAAATCGCCAGAAAAATAACGATAAGGTAATAAGGGAGAATGCAAAGGAACGTAAAAAGAATGGAATAAACGTGCTTAAAACTAATCAGAATGGAATGAACATTAACAGTTAGATGCAAGAAACCGAATGCAAGTAGCCACTGACTGCGCGATTGCTCCATGTTTGAAAAGGTTGCCAACACTTGATGTGGACCATCCCGAGGCCCCATTCATCATCATCATCATCATCATCATCATTATACACGTTAGCTGCAGGTGGAAAACACCTCAGCTATTGTGGCGCAATACAAAAACAAAAAGAAAAAAAGCATCCACAAAGACGGCACGCACCAGCCTGACCAAGTCACTCAGTCAATTTCCCCAAGCCTCTACCACGTCATGAATAGGCCACCTCGCGATTTCGCCCAAGTTGGTGCAGCCACGGCATATAATACACACTGAGGAAATCAGTCAAGGGGTGGACGCGGGACATGGCCTAGCCAACGTAAGCGATTAAGATTAAAAAACCAATTGATAGACCTCAGCACTGCTCCCCGGTGTTCCCACCTGACGTGAGCAATACTCCGCAAGCACCGGTGGTCAAACACAACCAAGCGTTTAATGTCTTCGACGCCAACTGGCCAGGTCTCTGCTCCATACAGTAAGACCGGCTATAACGCAGCGTTATACACCCTACCTTTCACTAGCGGGCTGATAACTCGCCGTCTCCATGGATAACTGAGTCTCTGGAAAGCCACACGGTCCTTGCTGATACGAGAAGTAACCTCCTCAATGATGTGAATACCAGAGGTGACACAGCTAACAAGGTAAGTAAACCGATCCATTACTTTCAGTGTCTGTTCGGTGGCGTATCGGTCCAGTTTTGAAACAGTGGTTTACATTTTGATGATGTAAATCACATGTCGAAGTGTGAAGCGTTACGTACCAATCTATCTAGAAGTGCTTGTATAGCAACTGCGCCAGACCTAAGGAGAGCTACGTTATCCGCATACTCAAGGTTTGTCAGTCGGTCACCTGGCAGAAGTTCCACTCCGATAAAGTCCGAAAGAAAAATCATGCATCATCATTTGGATCGCAAAGTTGTAGAGAATAGGAGACATTGGATAACACCGGCGAACGCCATTTATCGTGGGGAAGTCAGGAAAGAGCTCCCCAAAGATCTTTACAATGCTTGGGGAGTCACGGTAGAGTAACTACAGAATGGAAAGGAGTTTAGCTAGCTTACCCTTACCGGATAGGCAGTACCACAAGCCGACACGGTCAACAGAGTCGAAGGCGGTTTTCAAGTCAAAGAAAACCACTATAGTCGGTCATCTGTATGTGTCTCTGCTACATGGCGTTCAACGATTCGGCTCTCACGATGATCAATAACTCGTCAATGAATGATATCCGCGAAAAGTTTGGATGCAATGGAAATAAGGCTCATGCTTCGATGAACCCAAAAGTCCGTTGACCCTTTTTGAAAATAGGCACGATAGTTGACAGTCGCCAATCTGAATGTACCTCATCTGTGTCCCAAATCGGGTTAAACAGTAGTCAGTCCAGTAAACAAAGGGTCACTTCCACCACCTTTTAGCAGAGCCGGAGGAAGGTCGTCTGATCCAGAAGCCTTGTTTCGTCTCAATACGGCGGCCTCACGTCGAAACTCTTCGAAAGTGGGATGTGTGACATCAAGTTCCCACATCGGCTTAGGTGATTCAGCAGGATGCCGTGTCGCAACAAGCCTGCCGTTTAGCCCAATCGGCTAGTCGACGAGTATGGCGGCACAATGGCGGGTGTCTTCCAACTCCAGCTAACGTGAATAAAGATGATGATGACGAGACTCAGAATGGATTAACTGTCCTTTTTCAGCTATTGTCTCACTAACTGATTGCTTGCTGGGACATGTGTTCCGAATGAGCTTGAATAGCACTCGGCTTTCCTCATCTCACCAGCCTTTGCCATTCACCAACGTCCCAGATCAATTTCAACACTCTCTGTGAGATATCGTTTCAGAGCGTTACGGACACGCTGAAATTCAGCACACATTCGCAGCTGTTTCCGTGCTTCGATCAGTTTGATCGATGCCTCAGGAATCTATTCATAACTAGTCTCAAGTTGGGTGTACGGAAGGCGTCAGTTTTCTTTATTGCACACATGAGACGGCTCCAGTCAGCGTTCGGCTTACCAATCTCCATTCATGACTGATGATCGGTGGGCCAGTTCGTCATAAGATTGTTGGAGTGCAGAGGAAGAGTTCAAGTTACAGGCAAGAAGGTTAGCGAAAGGAAATGTGTGGTCGGTGAAAAAACCGGATTGAATTTCATGGGAGCTGAGGATCTCGGGAGAGAACATGAACTCGAGAACGGACTTGGAGATATTTACCACTGTGAAAAACGAATAATGGAGGATAGACCGAACAAAAGCAAAGTGCAACTCACATAGGTCACACCGATGCGCACTTCACGATTGACCGAGTTCGTACCTTTTAGCATATCGGTAGCAGTGGAACCTTTGAGAAATCCGCCTGGACCTTTGAGAAAACCAGGAGCCAGAGCCAAAAAGGCGTCTTTGGGCATGATTGCTTTCGATCGTGAAGAAGCTATTGTAGCAGGAAACGAGAGTGGAAATTTATCGGGAGTTTAAACAAGAAGTTTCCGTTAGAAAGATTGGGAATAAGAATCCAAAATGGACTGAAATAAGTTGGGAAACATAATTGAAATAATGATGTAACAGCTGCAGGTCATCGCACAGGCATGTGCGCTAACGATGAAATACCCATTTGTGTGAACAAGATTGAGAGCGCATTAACAGTCTTGAAACTATAGACAGATGATCTCAGTGGGGGAGGGTTGGTGTTCATTTGGGAACCCACAAACCAGTAAGATGAAGCGAGCAGTAAGGAAGCAACGGTGGAGGGAAATGATAATGCGCATACAGAGTTGGAAGATACCTATGTGCTGCACCATCGAGATAGTAACGGGCACTCAAGTGAAGCAACGCCAATTATTACCGCGCACGGTCAATATAGTATAATTATGTGACGTCCTATTCAAGTGCGATGCGCGTTTGAAATCTGTAATCCGCAAGATAGGTCAGAGTCCTCCACGGACAGTGTGAGATGCAGCAATTGGCCGGTTCATAAATAATGGCTTGACTGGGTTGACCGACAGATCCACATCCGCAAACCACCTGGACAGGCGGTCGAGGCCATGATGAAGTACGCCGCAGTCGTTGGGGGGGGGGTATCAATTACTCTCCAAATCTTCAGTAAAAGTGAAACAGATCTTAAGTTTGCAAATGAACGACGATAGATTGTTTGAGGAAGGACCGGGTCATATTTGAAACAAAAAACCAGGGCAGCCATTTGTTGAAGATGATTAGTCTATGTCTGCGTTTTATTCCCAATATTATTTGAGACCTGCTCTAGTTTAGCTTTCTATACTCATCCGCACAACTCGTATTTCTTTTTCATTTCTCCACTGAGCGATCAGTAACGCATATTTTCTTTGCGATCGATTATCTGAAATTAATGAACTGATTGTCTTACAATTATGATGGTTTCATTTGTTTTAGGATAAAGTAACTACAACTGCAGAGACACTATCAACTGCATCTGGATTATCTTCACTGCTATTTATCCCTTAGAAAACCCTAGCCGGAATGCAACATTTCATTCTCTCGAAACTTCCGTATCACCGTCGTTATTCACCAAGACTTCCCATGAACTTGCGATTGGCCTATCTGCAAAAGGCAGTTGTGAGTAGTATGCTTTTTAGCTCCTCAGACTCTATGTTCTCACTTATTTCGTTGTTGGTCACGAGTGGGCTGATTTCTTGTGGTGACGGATTACAGCTCCCAAGCTACAAAAGTATACCCATGAATGGCATACTGCTATTCACTTAGTGGGATATAACACAAAAGTGCTATACTTGTATGATCCGCATGTGGAAATGGGCCGAGGCTTCATCACCCATAATGTTTTCATAAAACAGCCTTTATAAATACCATCTAATAAACAGGTGATGACTTACATGCTATTCTGACGCACCGGCACACAGTCAGTTAGAGCGTGGAAGTGCGGGAGAAACCCATCGAGGAAATATCCCGCACGGAAGCAGGTCCCTTGGGAATGGTTCCATGAATGACCGTATTATTTTAGTTGAACATTTGGTTATATCTGCATGTTATTGTTCCCAGTTTCTTAATTACTCTGATACCTTCAAACCGCTAATCACATAAAAAGCCTATTTGGGATCCTATACAAAACGCGAACGATTAAACATTTTATGCGATCTCGTGGTACAGATTGATCAGGCCACTCAGTGAGACTGTGCCTTGCACCATCGAGGAATAAACCGTTTATTTAGTTAAACGAGGCGATCGAAGAAGCTGAGGTACTTCATCGATGTAGTCCAGGAACAAAATGGACTCCAATACTGTGTCTTGGGGTACGCCATGAGTGGAAGGATACTAGTCAGTTAGGTTATCATCTTCCTGTATGCTCCACTTCCTCCCAGTAAGGAAGTCGCTGAGTTCACTGGTGCAGTCATGCACCGATATCGCACATCCCCAGCTTGGGTAGAAAGATCTCATGATTTGAACACCTTACGGAAACGGACATCCCCCTGGTTCAGCGGTTGCCACTATTCGTGCCGCGTCACCAGCAAGTTGGCGATACATGAGTGGCCTTCCACGAAACCGTGCCTGCAGGAATCAGGCCTTGCGATTCCAGTGATTGCAGCAAACCCTTTCTTACGATCTTATCGAGCACCCTAGCCAAAACGGAGGTCAGGCAAATTGGCCGGTAATTAGACAAACAAATGTTCAGCTGTGATCACAAAGAAAAACGCATCAAGTGCGGGAAAGTTACTTCGAGAATTTAAACCACAGTCTGTATTGTGGATCAGTGGTACTTGGTAAAATGGGTGTCAGATCACGCGTAAAAAAAATTCGCCAGTGCCGGGGAAAATGCCAGTCATTACAACAAACAAACGCAGTTATCTTTGCTGATCTCGGGACAAAGTCAAATTAGTTGACCACGATAAAAACTGTCAATGTGGTAAAAGAGGATGAAGAAAAGATGCAGCGGACATCGTAGGGTTACTGCATGCCGTATTCCCGGACGAAGGGGCTAGAGAGTAGTCGTACCAAGGGGCAAACGCTTAGCCTGACATGCCGAGATCACCCCTGCATCTAGCCTAGTGGTGCCGGCGACCATAACATTTTCTGTTGGCTTCCAAAGGAGTAGTTGCATTGGCTGCTTTTTACTCCCCATTTCACCCGTCGTTTTTAGATGAAACGATTTACAGTAACTGAATCTATAGCGCATGCAAAATGGGATCGTGAGCAGTTGACTGTGCATGTTTAGGAAACCGACTACAGTGGAAGAAATTAGATCTTGAAACTATCGCGCTGCGGAATCTATAACCAAGAGAAGCTTCACAAAAGGCACTACGATAAGCCGAAAACGGCAACGCTACCATGATGATTCCTATTCAAATCTGTAGTTGATGTGACAATGAGTAATCCTAGCTAGTTTGCAAATTATGTAGCTTAGCCGACGTCCCCTATGGCTCAGTGGCTTAAGCTGCTGGCTAGTTGGCATCTGCCTCTAGCGGTCATGGGTTTGATCCTCCTTAGAGGACCGAGGGAATGCGCGCCACTGACGAGCCCCAATAGGGCGAAACGCGCCTGGCGCTTTTCCGGGCTAGGCTCTGCTATGTAGCTGGTGAACTGTTGGGATGAAAGCCTTATCAGAATGAGTAATCTATTTCATTTGTTCCTTCTGAGACAGAAGATCTGTCACGTATCAATCTGCAGAAATATGACAGACGAATTATGAAACACTCTTTGGATCTGAAGTTCTGAACAAATTCACATTGTGCTGCTTGCTTCCGCACTAGGATTAAAAGTGAAACTTAATGTTATGTGCGTGGGCCTATGGATTTGCGACATCCGCGTCCGGATTTGCCTGTTATAGTAGCCTCCACGGGGAAAGCCACAGCATGCCTGCGCCTACAGAGACCATGGGTGGCTTGCGCTACACTACCCACAGCTACACATGTACACACCATATCCAGTGTAAAATTGGAAGAATAAGACCAGAAGGCCCGTAGCCTAAAGACAGCATGTCTTGTAATCTGATGACGCGGGTTCGAGCATGAATAGCAGCAGGGTGACCCTCGCAGTATATTTAACTCGCGTGCGGCCGGTGGTGCTTCTGCGGCAGCGAAGCGTCGGTACTCCGTACTGGCATACTGCAGATGATATGGATAGGAACCACATTTCATCAACGAAACCGGCCCACACTTCTTCAACAAGCAGAGCAAAAGCATTCACGCTTAATTGGGAAATCATGCGTACCAGACGTATACAAGGCGGTGGCTGGGCAGTAGTCCGCTCCACATTGGATTGAACCACTCTTTGAGTCTAGCACGAGCACGAGGACCGTGCACTCCGTCACCCCTCAGCACCGATTCACAGTCTCCTGGATCCTGTAATCGAGATGGTGTTGGTCAGATAGGCAAGTTGTCAGCATTCACATAAAGGGTAGCCACGCTGGGGATATCAAACGACCGTAGTGGAAAGGCCAAACGAAAAGAGGCTTAACTACATAAAAAAACTCTGTCTATAAATAAGAATGCTGGACCTGACCTTAGGTAAAGCACGATCCTCGGTAGGCCGTCAGTTAGTCGCACAATCCGGTCGGAAGACGAGACTTAGTCGGTACAATAATTCGACGCGTTAGATCCGATGATTGATGAACGAGGCTAGCAGACCGACGACAATTAACACCACAACAAGCGTAGCCGAAACCAGAAGGTGAATCGAAACCCGAAAAGTCCATTTTTCGGTGGTTGGTCAGTTAAAACAAAGTTATACAATAATAATGGAAATGGGAATAGGAAAGTACAATTGGAAGAGAGATGTGTACAACCGTTACACGACTAATACAGAATTCGAATGGGGAATAAATGCGCAAAATGGACAAGGAATATGCAGCAGAATAACAGAACTGAGCAAACCAAATAAAGAGGAATACTTTTTATCCAGGTTAGGATTTATTCTGAGCAAGTCGGTGTAGCCCAACTGCGGTGAAGAAGCATGGTGTATGCAGAACCAATCTCAGCATGAGGCACCATATGAATACGAAAGAAAATGCAGAAATTAAATACGCGAAGTGAACAGTGCATGTGCGGCAGAATGACAGGAGTGAGCAACTCAAAGTGTATGAATGGTGATTTATCGTTTGGGCGATCTTGGGCAAGTGTAGGTAGGTAGGAAACCATGGACATTGTTGTTTGTAGATATAAATGAGGGTCAAGACAAGGGCATGTATTCTACAAAATAATTTCAAGAAACAGTATCTACGTAAAAAAGAATTAGAGGCAGCCGCGCATAGTCCGGTGAACAATGCTATGGAGCTTACATAGAAATGTAGATCACGAACGAATACGAAGATGTCGTAGCTCACCGTCATTGCATGTCACAGCAGCGAAGATGACATAGTCACGAAGTGTACGGAAATGTAGTGAGCAAAAGGTAGAGCATTATGAAATACGGTCGTATTAATCAAGCCTAGTATGATGTAAGTTCAAA